TCGAGGCGCTGATTTGGGCCCCTTAGGTGCTGATTTTTGCGCCGAAAATTCTGCTTTGCGCAATTTTGAAGGGTCAGACACCCTTCAAGCTACTGGGCAACTTTGTTTTGACGAGCAACAGCAGTCAGGCACACTTCTAGGCGTTGGGCTAGACATTGCAAGTAGTAAAGAAGCTTTGGGTGCTGCTCTTGATGATCAAGCCCTTCTCCAGGTGCTGGGCGCCTTGGGTGAACCTGGGGCTGCCTCGGGAGAGCCTGCTTGTGATGACAAAAATAATGTTATTCCAAACATTAAAATATCTCACATAATTACCTGGAGAGAGAGAAGTAGACTGCTTGCGCGAGAGCAAAGACAGAGTTGGAGAACTGCTCGTGAGAGAGCTACACTTTTTGAGACCTAGCTTTTGGCGACCCATGAGGGAGTCTTTAAGCTTGAGGTATAAGCTGCCTATTTGAAAACAGTGCAGAGGCCAAGCGTTTTTGGCGATCCGTGAGAGAGCCATTAAACTGGCGATAGGCTGCCTGTTTGAGAACAGTGCAGAGGCTAAGTTTTTTTTTTTTTTTTTTGGCGATCCCAGAGAGAGCCGCTAAACTGGAGATAGGCTGCCTGTTTGAGAACAGTGCAGAGGCCAAGTTTTTTGGTGACCTGTGAGAGAGCCGCTAAACTAGAGATAGGCTGCCTGTTTGAGAACAGTGCAGAGGCCAAGTTTTTTGGCGACCCGTGAGAGAGCCGCTAAACTAGAGATAGGCTGTCTGTTTGAGAACAGTGCAGAGGCTAAGTTTTTTTTTTTTTTTGGCGATCCTAGAGAAAGCCGCTAAACTGGAGATAGGCTACCTGTTTGAGAACAGTGCAGAGGCAGGTCAAGTTTCTGGTGATCTGTGAGATGATTCACCTTGCCTAAACTTGTTGATTTCCTCAGCATTCATATACCTTTGAGCTTTTGTGAATAGTTCTGGCATGCTCTTTGGTGGTTGCTTTATTACTGAAAAAAGGAATCTGGATGAGTAGAGGCCTCCCAGGAAGACAGTCATGGCGACTTTGTCATTGGGTTCCTCGATTTGGAGGACTTCCTTGTTAAAAAGAGTGAGGTAACTCCTTAGACTCTCATTACGATCCTGTTTTATGCTGAGTAGATGGATGACAGGCTGCTGCTGGCAGCGTCCACCAATGAATTGTGTCACAAAGGATCTACTCAATTCGGCGAAGGAGCCTATGGAGGTCGGGGTGAGTTTGGCGAACCATTGTCGTGCTGATCCCTTCAAGGTAATTGGGAATGTCCTACACATAATTTCGTCGGGGATGCTGTGTAGTTACATCATGGTCTTAAAAGTTTCGAGGTGATCAAGTGGGTCCTTCGTACCGTCAAAGGTTTCAACGGATGACATTTTAAACTTCTTGGGAAGTGGGTAGTTCGTCACGTTAGGTACGAAGGGTGTGTTGGTTCGACTTACGAGGCAGTCCACTGTCTCGGGTCTCTGTGCTTTCATAGTGTTGAAAATCTCGTCTAGTTGATTTTGTACCTCTTTTATTTTTTCGTCCCAGTGGTTGGGAGCTCCTTTGGAATTATCTTGGAAATTGCTTCCATGCTCCATGCTCTGGTTCTCACCCTTGTCCTCTTGGAAGAAAGCCCCCACCATGAGAAAAGGGAGCTGGAAGAGGAGGTGGAGGTCGCCCGTGGGGAGCTCCCCTATGAAGGGCACCCAAAGGAACTCCAAAGGGGGCGCCCAAATAGGGAGCAACAAGTTGTGGAGCTGCTTGATGTGCAGGGCGTGGAGCTGCTTGATGTGTAGGGCGTGGAGCAACTTGATGTGTAGGGCGTGGAGCTCTTTGATGTGCAGGGTGTGGAGCTCCTTGGGGGTGCTCCATGTTGTGCACCTCCGTCAACAAGTTGTGGAGCTGCTTGATGTGCAAGGTGTGGAGCTCTTTTATGTCCAGGACGTGGAGCTCCTTGAGGTGCTCCATGTTGTGCACCTCCGTGGGGCCCTCCATGTTGTGCATCTCCGTGTTGTGCTCCTCCTTGGGGTCCTCCATGTTGTGCACCTCCAAGTGGTGCTCCTCCTTGGGGTCCTCCATGTTGTGCACCTCCAAGTGGTGCTCCTCCTTGTCCAGCAAATATGAGTTGCAGTAACTGTTGGTTTTGAACAACCAGTTGTTGCATGGTCTCCAACATTTGCTGGGAATTCGGAGCTAGAGTATCCGGGACAGAGTTGGTCGGCGGGGGAGCAATCTCTTCCTCTCGTGGAGGATTGTCTTCAGGTTGGTTCATGGATCGGGTAGTGATCGCCATTAGTTCAATGGATGTAATGTTCAGGAGTGAGAATTTTGTCGTTTCCCACAGACGACGCCAAACTGATGATGCACAAAAATGATTTTGCACACCACCTATCAAGTGTAGGTAATAAATGCAGTGAAATCAATGAAAAAATTAAAGAAGACACGATTTATAGTGGTTCGGTCAATTCGACCTACGTCCACTCTTCAATGGCTTCAGTTGCCGGGTATTTTATTAATTCAGAGGTATGGAGAATAGAGATACAAGCTTTGAGAGAATGGAGAATCAAAGAAAATGGTCTCCGGTCGTCAGTCTATCCTCTGTAAGTGTTGGTGGGGCGTGACCTTCCTCTCCTTTTCTCCTCACAGATTGGGGCTACTTTATAGCAGCTAAGAGATCATTCTTGTGGAGATCATGACTTATCCTCAAGGTTACTTTATCGCAGCTAAGAGATCATTTGGTGGAGATCATGACTTATCCTCAAGGCTACTTTATCGCAGCTAAGAGATCATTTGGTGGAGATCATGACTTATCCTCAAAGCTACTTTATCGCAGCTAAGAGATCATTCTGGTGGAGATCATGACCTATCCTCAAAGGAATGAGGAGGTTGGGGAGCTCTTCATGAAACGTGGTGAAAGCTTGGACCGTTTCCTTCGGTGGTGCAGATAAGCTTCTCATGCTCTCCTCTTGATGACGTGCTAAGCAAAAAGTCTAACCGGTCTTGGACTGTCTTGGGCTTGGTAGATTCAAAATGAGGTTGGGCTCCTCAACTGGAGTTGGACTTTAACACATAAATTGGACTATTTGGGCTTAACCCATTATAGTTAACTCTTGTCCTAAAGCCATATCTTTTTTTGGAGTATTATAACGTATATACTCATTATTTTCTTCTTCAACAAAACGATGAAAAATTTTATAAGATAATATATCTATTTTAACTCTTAAATCATTATCTCAAATGCGATGGGAAAATTGTATCAAAAGTGTTAAAGCAATCAATTATGAGACTTCAAAAATACTAGATGCTTTAATTCAATTAGCAAATATTAGTGAAAATCCTAAAACAAGGAGTGAAGTCACATGCTTAGCTACATATGAGATTGAAATTTTTGAATTTTTATTGGGTATAAATATTTGGTATGATATATTATTTGTTGTTAACACAATTAGTAAAAATTTACAATCCAAAGACATGCATATTTATGTTGTCATTGATCAATTAAAAGGACTTATTTCTTTTTTGGAATCATATAGAGAAAATAGATTTTACTTTTCTTTGATTTCATTAAAAGAGATTGCACTTTAAATGAAAATATATTCACTATTTCAAGAAAAACCTAAAATTTTTAGGAAAAAACAATTTTGTGATACAATTGAGAATGCATTAACACTATCAGCTGAAGAATATTTTAGAATTGAGTATTTTTTATTTATACTTGATCTACCTATTTTTTTGATCAAGAGTAGATTTGAACAATTCAAAATATATTAAAATATTTTTGGTTTCTTATTTTGTTTAAAAAGTTAAAATCCTTAGATGATGATAGTTTGAAAAGTTATTGTCTTAATCTCGAAATTTTTTTGAAGCATGACTAATTTTCTAATATTGATGATTTAGATTTGTTTCAAGAATTGATTGTATTAAGAAAAATCCTACAATCTGAAATTAACACGCCAACTAAAACCCATTGTTTCCCAAACAAAGGTTATTGGATATATTCAAAGGTTAGGGTGTGTTCAGGTAATGGGGTAGGATAGGATAGGATTTCTTTTTTTATATCCTAACCCATCCAAGTCAAACTCACTCATCCACTTTAAAACTCTAACTCAAGGTTATATCTAATCTTAAACTTTGTTTGGAAAACAAATGTATAATTTAGTGGGCCCCATAAATTACACAAATAATTTCATAGTAGTTTACCATTCTACCGATGACTTTATCCATTCCAATCCAAACCAATCTTATCCTATGTTTGGTCAACCCATCCAAGCTTAATAAAATTATACATTTTTCACATATACATAAAAACATATAAAAATAAAGAAAGTTAAATACATATATATATATATATATATATATATATATATATATATATATTGGTATTTTTTTTCCCAAACAAATCTTTTTTTTAACAGAAAAATATTTATTTATTTACAAAAAATAGAGTCATTAGAAGAAGCAAACAAGGCAAAGCAGCCTTATAAAACCAAACTAAAAATAAGGCACAGTCACCTTATCAAGTAAAATGTCAAAAAAACTACCAGCAAAACCATTCGGTCCATAAGCTCCATTTCAGCTATCTTTCCATCTTCAAAATATCTAGCAAATCGACACCAAAGCAGCAGCAACAGATCGAGTATACCCCAAAGCAGCAGCAACCTCACAAGGCAGACGCAACTCCACAGAGTAGTCAATACATAATAGCATAATATTTTTTTTATTTTTTTTCAAACAAATAAACACTTTATTTCATTTTGCCAAAAAAATTACAAGAAGCAAACCCCATTTATCAGTCATGAAAAAATACAAAGAATTATAATCTTCATCCTAAACGCCTTGACCCCTTCTTGATCCTGTAACATCAGTAGCTTAGCCTGCCATGGAATGACCAAGTCCAAGGAGAAAATCAGCAGACCAAATCTGCTAGACAGCCCAATTTGCCAAAAAATCAGCCAATCTGATTTTTCCCCCCAACTGGCTTTAGCAGGTTCTTCTGATTTTTTCCCTCAGCTGGCTTTAGCAGGTTCTTCTAATTTTTCCGAACTTGATTCACTAGTTTTGATCCCTTCCATTTTTTGATTGTCTATGTCAATATCAAATTCAGCACTATCTTTGAATACAGGCTTACCAAAACTAGAAATATGCTCTGGGGACAAACCCAATTCCAAATTTTCATCGTCCAGTTCAAGGTCACCAATTTCTGCACCAAGACAAGCAGTACTCATTTCTTGGCCTTTGGAAATGCTCCTCACCAAATGAAGGAAGTAATAAATATCCACTCCATCTTGTTGTTTCAACCCAACCTTAAAAAGAAACCCCCCAAGTGGCATATATTAATGCAAAGCATACACAAATGTGGAAAATAATGACAAATAAGAATCTTTACATTGAGGTACCATCAGGCTTTCTGAGAAATCTTGCACCCAGGTAGTTATTAGCCCCATTATGTGCACTGCCTCAATTTCTCCATATTATGATGGGTGACATGCTCAGGATAAGTTAAAAGTTGAGTCATTATGATAGGAATTGCTACCTGGACTTCATAAACACGTTATCCAAAACAAATAAGCACCCAAAAATGAATTGAAAAAATTACAAAATAGCACCACTGTCTTCCCCAAAACCATTTGAACTAATCCTTGAGAAGCAAATTCAATCAAATACAACCTTGAGCACAAATTAAGAACATGGCAAACGAATGCGACACACAACATAATTAAACCCACACATCCAACATAATACATAAACCTACACTAAAAACATACAACAATACTAAGATGATCAAATAGCTCTGCCTCTATCGAATGATCTATGAACTAAAGAAATAAGTCATTGGCATTTAGGCTCACCTGGGCGAGTTTGCCCAAGTACATACACCCTAAGTTTTTGTTACATGACAAAGGATAAGGTCAATTATCATCAATAACTATCACATCATCTTCCCTCCTCCTTGAATTTACTGATGGACATGATCCAACGCTGCTATCAATGTGTTATTGACTTGGGGTTGGTACATCGTTCTTGAAAATAATTTCCAATATTGGGAAGTTTGGACAATGATCCAAACAATAGTTACAAGCAGAACCATCATCCTGTAATAAATGTGTGAAGTTAAAATATAGAACCATAAATGTTTCAAGTAATAAAACAATGGCACACTGACACGAACATGAAACAAATTAATTAGAATCACGTACTTGAATGAAATCCAAACCACCAGACTCTAGGCCTTCCAACAACACACGTAGTTTGTGTGTCCCAAACAAACATTCCACTGTTTAACATCTCTACAATGCTTTTATATTGACGCTCCCGGAAAATGATTACCCTCAACATATCACTCAATGACAAATGAAACCTAGGCATCCTTCGTCGTATACGTGTAAACAGTGCATCAAGTATAGGTAATTTCCCGCGATTCTTAAAATCAACTAATAACTCTAACATGACATCAACTTCATCCTCAATCATGTCGGGTAGCTTCATTGTGTACTAATACCACAACAATTACCAAAAAAAAAAATTATTTTCAAGTCATCATCCATAACCATACATACATAGGATAACATAATAAGTGAACAACATATAAGCAAAGCATTAAAGTAAAACATCTAATTAATAAGTCAAACATCCACATCATACATAAGTTGCTACAAAAAATGTGACACATGGGTCAACCAAAATTTAGTTCACAAGCAGGGCACGAGTAACTTTACATACAACCTTGATAAACATCTAAATCAGGCCACAATATGCTATCAACCCAAACTGCTCGCTCTTCCACTGACAAGCTAAAGAAAATGTCAATTTTTATGTTATCTGAAGCAATTTTGTATGTTGTCTCTTGGCGGTGTGCCATTGTAAGGCCATCTATTTTTGACAACTCTACTAGGATGGCACGTCTACGTGTAGATGCATCTTGCTCGTAGCCTACTTTCTGTGCAATGCTTGCTAGTTGGTTGTCGCTTGAAACAACGTAATCACCAAATACCTTACATATCTGGGAAAGACTTGTAGCCATTGAATCGCTTAGATCACTAGATTTTCTTTTTTTTTTTTTGTCTTACATGTCTATGGGGTGACATTCACACCCTCCCTACCCAGAGTTACACTTTGAGAGTGGCGAACAGCATCTGTTCCCTTAGTTGGATGAACCTCTAAGTTGGCATCATCAGGGACATCCCCAGCAGCTGAATTATCTTCAATCATTTCCTCTAGTCCTTGGGCAAACTCACATGTTGCCCTATCTTTCCCAAATATAAGGACTCAATCATCATAGAATGGTCATGATCTACCACGCATCCCCTTCGCATTCTTGTCTTTCTACATTGTCATTAGAAACATTAATAGGGCATAATATATACAAGTTATCTAGGATTATTATTATTAATGGATGCAAGTGAGTAATAAAATCTTCAAGTACTCCACTCATATATCTTCACCATAAACATCCATTTTCTTCTCGCGATCATTCCATCCAAAATCGAATGTGCTTAGCATTGAAAACAAAGAGTTGTACTATTTTTTCCATGCTTTGATCTTCGACTCAATATGTGGTGATGCCCTAAGGTCAGTCGTTGGAAATGCTTCCTTTAAATTGTTCTCTAATGTTTGAAGATAACACTTCCATCCGTTGACACAATGTTCTTTCAATGCTTGAATCAGAAAAGTCTCCTCCGCAACTATCCATGTTCAGCGTGGACCTTGGCTACTGGCACTAACACTTTACATGACCTACTTACATACGTACAAACCAAAGACCATTAAATAACCGACAAACACACGAATATATATTACTTGGGTAAAGTAATCATAAGAAAACACAAATAGTTGACATTAATTCTCCCAAATTAAATACATACAACTTAATTGGTCTGTTACTAAAAAAATGGTAAAGCATTTAGCCACCCCTACTCTCATACCATTCATTGTACATATTGTTGGCTAGTTGGTTTCTAAATGCATTCCATTTATTAGATGTGTCAACCATGTCGATGACATCCGACTCTATATCACCATGACCATCGGCTTGACCATCTTCTGGCAACTCATCTTCCACTAGGTCAAAAGACATTTCATTTCTAATCAAATTATGCAACAAGCAACATGAAATAATGATTCAATTGTGTGCGTACTGGGTAGTGCCAAAGAGTCCTTAGGATAGCCCAGCCATTTTTGAGTAAGACAAAACAACATTCTATAACATTCCTAGTCATTGAATGCCTAAGGTTGAAGAGTTCCTCAACATTACGAGGTGCAACTGTCCCTTCGGCCCATTATTGCACATAGTATCTTTGGCCCCAAAATGGAGCTAAGAACCCTTCCCCATTTGTGTAACCGGCATCCACTGGGTAGTAGATGCCTGCATAGAAATTGTGGTTTTGAAAGAACACTCCTACTAACTGTTAGAAAATATTACTAGTGGTCATAAATAACTTACCTCAAGCCATTGCAAAGCCATTCCTCCTCGTTACCGCATCTCGTAGTATCCTAGAATCAACAGCTGACCCTTCTCCCAACCGAGCAAGACATAAATGAATTTCATATCTTTGGAGCACACACCAAGGACATTTGTTGAAATGTCACCATGTCTATTCCTATATCTAGCTTGGTGAACCATGGATACTCTTGCTCTAACGTGCGTGTCATCTAGTGCACCTGCGCAATTCTACAAATAAAAAATAATGAAACAAATTAGACGGTGTTACCATTCATCCAAATTCTATCCAATGACATATGAAACAATTGTAAGGTTCCGTTACCTTAAACCACTACCACTTGTTATCTATATAGTCCTCAGTTACTGGATTGGGTCTCATTAATAGCAGACGATGCAACTTAATAACTGACTTCAACAAACATTGAAATGTCTGCTTACAGTTTCGCCTAATCTAAGAAAGTTGAACTTTATTGTCCTATTCTTCACATCATGACCCAATATAGTTATGAACATAGCCACCATTTCTTCAACACTTACATATCTCGTGCGATTTAAGCCACCTACTTGTTCCACCAAATTACAAAGAATGCGAAAAGTGTGTCTATTCATCCTCAATTATTCTATGCAATTAATGTCACTATCACCAATTAGATGGTGCAAGTGTTCAAGTTGCAATCGATTTCTAGACATGCAGAGATCTGAAAAGTGAGGATAAATTTTTCAGTTTTGTCGGTAGGGCATTATTCCTGCACCATTTGTCGGTAGGACACTACATATGCATCATTTAAGAATAAGGCATATTTAAGAACATAATTTGAGTATGTCATAGAAGAGAAACATGCTTAGAATGTTAAAATACACCTACTGTGCGAATTTGAGCCAAAACAGAAACAGTTTCAAAAATTAAACCGAAAGGATATCCCGGGTAGCCTAGGTGAGACAGGTCAAACCCGGCCACTAGCGAAAATACATTTTTTGGGCTGAGAAGGTTCAGTACACGTTTTTGGAGGAAAAGGGAAGAAAAATCTTAAGTTCTTCAAGCTTCAAGCCACCAAAACTTAATCCTAGGTCAAAATTCTTACAAGACTTCCTTCTAAGAAGTTGTTCCTCTCAACAAGAGCTATATTCTCACCGATCGGTTCGGCTATAAAGCGAACACAACTTCCTTGGTTTGAGAAAAATCATTTTAGGTATGATATTTTGCTAAGTTGGGAATAGATTTAAGTTTTCTTGCCTTCCTATGTGTTGATTGAATAATTTAGGTGTTTACTTAATGTTAAAAAATTATTTAGTTGGTAGTTGCTTTAAAAACTTAGAATTAGTAGTCTAAATACTTGTGTTCTTTGAGTTTCTTAAAAATTTGTTGCTATGGTGAAGGTTTATATTGCTTATGTGATGGATTATTATATTATAACTTATGTTCATGTAGAGAAACTCTTGTGGTTTGAGAGTTATGATTTATTATATGAGTTGGTAGTTTGTGTATTTTGTAGTTTCTTTGAGAAATTGTGAAAATAATGAATATGAAGTTTGATTATATGTTTAAATCCATTGAATGGTGCTTCACATTTGTGTAGATAAGGTGTTTGATAAAATGTTTCATATGAATATGAAGTTTGATCATATATTTAATCTATTGAATGGTGTTTCACATTCATCTAGATAAGGTGTTTGATGAAATGTTTCATAGAATTTACATTGAGAAAAATCATGGCATCTTGGCATACATGAATCCTTGAAACATAGTGTGGGTTGAGCACTTGGTGCTATGCATTATGAGGGTGTAGATCCTGCGGTGAAAAACTCAAAATCTGGCCAATGACAGTACTCGCGGGCTGATAGAGCTGACCGTGAAACGAGACATGGGTGGCACAAAGTTGCATGAGTGTGTCATGTATATTGACATTGCATAACATTGAAAGATTATGGGGTTGTAGCTTTTAAAAATGTACACTTGCACATGTCATGCCTTAAATTTGTTCCTAGCGTTAGCATTTTGTCATTACCAGTAATTGAACTGACCCATTCGTGGGATATCATATTACAGATGACGCTCCCGATACTTGAGACTTGAGAAAGTCTTAGAGGAAGGAGAGGAAAGGAACTTGAATGTATATTTGGCCATTGGGTATATTTTGTATGTATGGGCATAAGCCCAAATGACTTGTATTCTAGTTTGAAAAAGTAGTGGATTAAAGGTCTTGGACCATTTTAATGTGTAAGAGTGTAAACTCAATTGATATTTGGGATGTCTTTATTTAATGAGTATCATATGTGTATATTGGGGCAATTAGATGTATATGCTGAAAATAAGAGATGTATGTTTAATTTACATGAGTTGTGGCCACTGAGTGAGAGTGGATTGTAATATAATTATGCATATAAAATATTGTGAATATTAGGTGAGAAAAAAGCTTAAAAACAAAGGAGGTTATATCGAAATTTTATGAAAAAATTAAAAGACTTGTTAAGTGTGTAAAATATCTTTTAAATAGGTGGGAAAGATGTCAAAAGGGGGGGTTTAAAAACCTTGAAGAAATAGGCTAAAAATGGAAGAAAAGTGGCTTGAAAAACTTTGAAAAAACATGAAAAATGAATGAAAAACCAATTTATCCAACCTAATGACCTTTCATTTACTTTTCTTTTCTATTTTCACTCACTCCCCGGGTTTGTGGAAATTCGGGGCGTGACAAGACAATTGACTTGATGGTTGTGGTTTTGATTGTCTCTCCATTTCCCACAACACAACTATAACGACCACAAACAAATAGAACATTATTATCATCTCTCTTCACGTCCTATCCAACACAACAATCAATCCAGCAATGTCATCAATATGGTTTGGCATTTTATCTGTTGAACGCCCTTGCATTTTTTTGTACAATAGTCACGTCAATATTAAATATAGTATTCATGTAACACAATTGAAGCTAAGCAAAAGAAAACATTAATGCCTAGCATCGTGCGCAATATAATAGCAAACGTTGCAATATAAAATTCAAAGCATGGAACTACACATTACACCATACCGAGCAATTTAGTGCGCAATATGATAGCAAGAATACTCACAAATTAAGATTTAGGAGCAAATACGCATTGCACACAAGAACAAATAGAACATGTGAAAAACTTACAATTTTGTTGAACTTCTCAATTGTCGCCAAAGAGTTGTATTGTGCCAAGCGTAATAATATTTCTGGACCCTTCACTCCTAAAAGTAGAAAAAAAAAAACAAATTAGATACATACTGGACCTAAAAATTGGCACAAATAATATACATAAATAGTTGAATTTTGAAAATAGATTTCAAAAAAAAAAAGGTAATCAAAGAAATAGGTTAAACATCACCCCTAAAGAGTTACACAAAAAAAAAAGTCACCAAAATTAACCATGAAAATATCTAGGCTTCGGATGTGATGATGATTCCATTAAGATTAAAAATAAAAAATAAAAGAAGTCAAATACTAGTTTTGTAAAATTTCATATTAAGAGACAAATTGAAATAAGAAAGGAAAATAATAAGGAACACAACCGATATAGATGGTTTAGTACATTATGTCTATATCCACGGACTTACACCCTATGAATTACATCTATGTATTATTGATGGTGAGTGTTTACATATGATTCAACCCTATTATTGTTCCCTCATGTCTATCTTTCTTTCTCCCTATTTTGACAGTGCAAATTTCGAGAGCCAAGTTATATCACACATGGTGCAAATATTTATGGAATCATTGATAATAAAAAATTAGCAGACTTAAAAACAAAAGGAAGATTAAGAAAAAAGAAAGAAGCCACAATATT